AGACGTGAGGGAAAACACTCCTGAGATGAGACCGGAATTCAAAGCGAAACCCCTGAGACTAGCAAGTGCAATCCGGAGCTCCGGTCTACAAAACCAGCGCCGGATACTTATCTAAGTTTGGGAATCGTTCTTAGGTTGCCTCCAGTGGGCGGGTTCCTCCGTACTACAGTCAACTATATGGAGTCGCGCCTTCCGAATTCAACTATCGGGTGCGACATTCAAGAAGATAGAGCGCATTTCGTTCTTAGTGGAGATATTCAATTATCGCAAATATGTCTACCAGACCACCAAAGCAACTATCACCTCCGACTCCTCGAAGGTGGGCTTCGGTCCACGTACACATTTGTCGGCACTTGGATCCCAACGGAGAGTCGCTGGCCAATTCCAGTACTAGAACTCAAGGTACTCGTTCTAGACTTCGAGTTCTTCCTCAGTAACACAAAATCGAGACGACACCACTTCTCTGGCTCACAGACAGCAGCACTTGCGTTACATGCTCTGCGCAAGAGAAGAAACCAGTCAAAGTTGATGAACGCCCAACTTCGCACACTAGTATGGTTTTGCCACAAGAACAAAGCTCCCTGGCCAGCAATTCTCGGATACATGCCAGGAAAGCTCAACCTAGCAGCCGATATGCTTTAGCGCAGCGGCAATCTACTCCAGTATCACAGGACGGTGACCCCAGAAACGGTCTTGTCGATATTCCAGAAGTGGCGCATCAGACAGCTACTACTTTCAGAAAGCTCACCACGGTCATGTGAAGTTCCTAAACCTTGGAACTTCTCGCTCCACCAGAGACAATGCTGAACCAGATACTAGGACAGCTCGACAGACGCCTACGCTCATCATTCCAATCTGGCAGAAGGCCATATGGTGGCCTCGCGTTACTCGACATGGCAAAGAGCTGCTATTTTTGAGCCAGGCGCGGTTCACCACCCAGTGTCGGTAGCCGACGAACTAAACACGGCCGTCCCCCCTACGCGTCTATACGGGGAAGTATTGTACGAGCCAAGCGGCAAGTGTGCCAATGTCGCGATAGATCGCGCTCGAGTGTGGACCCAATTGTGGAATGGAGGGTTAGCTCCGCGCACACAAGATAACTACCAGATAACTTTCCATTTCTGGACCGATTATGCGACTAAGCATAATATCACCACCACCGTGCCAACCAGAGACCAACTCTTACATTTTTTAGAGTTTTGCTTTTACGAGGACTGTGTTCCAGATTAGATACGACAGATCCTGGCAGCAGTCAACAGCTGTGCACGCAGACACGACATGGCAACGCGCGATACAGGGGTATGTATCCCTGTGGAACCAGGGCAACCCCCCCCACAGCACCCGACAAGCCTCGAATTCCTGCTACATGGCTTGCTCAGGTACTTGAGCTTGCTCAGGTACTTGACGCAACAGGGCTTTCTGAGAGCTGACGCGTCCTGATCGCAGTCATCCAGCTATCCGGAGCCAAACGGGACACGAGCCGAACATTCGCTCGCGATTCTTTTACGTTTGTTCCAGCTTCACACTCCCTCTTTTGCGATCTCAAGAAGGAGAAAAGAGGAGAACGCTCTCAGGTGGCAAAGCTAAATACTAGACCTCTCGATACCGTCACGTGTTCTACTCTACCAGATGCTTTCAGATCGTCCGACGACATACAGGCGCCTGCAACCATTCTGAATAATCGTATTTGATCTTGCGGCCAGTACAGCTGACAAACACGTCCAATGGCATGCAATTCGTCGCGGATTCTCACAAAGTGCGTTAAGTTTGCGAGTGCCGGACGACATCATCACCGGCATAATGAGCATTGATATCAAATCGCTGGAGAGCTATCGCTCAGTTACTGCCACCTGCGAGGCCGACCGCAGATTCTACAGTTGTTTGTTATGAGAGCCTCCTACGCAATTCGGTGGGGACTTTCAAGTAGTTGTGGGAACAATTACTATTCTGGAATGTTTACATTCTAATAGTATTATGGAACAGAGAGATGCACCAGTAAAGTCTTTCCCTAATTGTGCGTTACTGTTAAATATTATAACTATTTAACAGTAACTCACATATTTAAGGTAAGACCTTACGGTCCTACTCTACATTATTTTTATACTCCTAGTCAAATAGGAGTATAATAGGACGATGAAGTGGAGACACTTCCTCATCCATATTTCCTTCTACTTACCCACCCACTCCACCCCTTTCATCCATATTACCTTAGAAATCACTGAATAGCTAGCTATAGGATGTAGTTTACGAACCCACACCAACTAAGCACCCAGGATATTTACATGTGTGCGAATACTTCGTGTATATCTATATGTATTTTATGTTAAGTCTATATATATGTATATGAGAGCATAGTTAAAACTGTTAAAATCTTGCACAGACGTAGCTATTTCACACAATATCGATCAATCCACACTCCCTGGAGCTGACTCCGATGGATAAGACTTAGTGAACTACAGGCAATAATGTAAATACTATGATAGCCAAAAATAAAACTAAAATAAAACAAATACTATACACACACACATATATATATATATATATATATACACACATACACACACACACACACCACACACACACCATACTACGACACACACACACACACACACACAC